AGGAATGAAGTGGATGACGAATCTATTGCGTCAGACTAGAGTGCAGTCACGCCTCTGCCCTCGACCTTGAAAAGACCACCAGTGAAAGAGCCAGTAAATCATCTAGAGGGTGGCTTGAAAATTCACAAAATGGTCCGTGTTCCTTCCCGTGACAATAAAAAGAATGGTGCCCCGAGAAAGTGTCGCGCGAGTGCTAAGCACAAGGTTAGAAAAGAAACAAGTATCATGTGTGCAGGCTGTGGTGTGGCTCTCTGCAAACTTCCATGTTTCAATGTTTATCACACGAAGAAAAACTAATAAAGAGGTATGGAAAGGCATTTATTGCATAACATATTATATTTTAATTAGTTCCTGAAAATTCCGTTTTTAAAAACCAATTTTTGTTGAAGTTGTTTAGGAAAAAGTAACTACATGCATTTTAGCGACATAAGGTTTAAAGGGCCTGCCAGGACAGGGGTGGGATTTAAATACCCTTCGCGCCAGTCAGAGAGTTAAAAAAGTGGGAGCTATACAAGTCTCCCTGAATTACACACTCCAAATATAACTGGTTATCACGAACTATCACTGATTCCCGCACACACGTCTGTAGCTCGTAATTTGCGAACTGAGAACTCGTTGATAACACACTGACTCATAGGCTTGCTCGGAACTAGCTCGGAACTGTCTTCGGCAATGGCCACATTATAACTAACTCGTAGCTGCTGTGCAGTTCCCTTATATAGCCTAAGTGCTTGCCTGTTGCGTGCCACGTCACAGTAGGGATCGGTGCCACGTCATCCTGTTGCGTCACTGCGCGTTGCGCGTTATGTGTTATGTTACCGTGCGGAGGGGGGAGGGGAGCGCTGACTCACCTGCCACGTCACTGCTCGTGGGGGGGGATTGGTTCTCCGTTGCGCAACATGTCACAATAATATACATATGAATGAAACCCACTTCAACACTTTTAATCCAATATTTGAGACCCTATATTAACTACACAACAGACAGCAGCAAGTGCCTCCCCCCCGCAGATCATATAAACAGATGTAATACCACAACAGGCCACAGTTCACACACACACACACACACACA